ATAAGTCATCCTAGAGTTATCTGCCCATCTCCATCGGCCATTTGTAGATTTCCCGCCAATAAACCAACCATCACCGCGATTGCCTGTAGAATATAATACATACTATTACTGTTGATTTAATGACATGATGGCATTTTTTACCATGTATCTATTGTCGTTTAGGATCTACTTTAATACTTTACCTTTAAAATACTATGATTTTTAAAGAAACCATTTGATTCTGAGAAGGGTAAATTACTGATATCGTTCCTAAACTATCATTTTCAATCCAGATTCCTGTTTATTTTCCTGCCATCAGAAGATATATTTTATTTATTTTCAAAACTTTCAAGAATTATTCATTTTTAAAATCTGCCTCTCCGGAATCAAATGCTTGCATTTTTTATATCACGCAGGACTGAGAAATTCCAGGTGATTTGAACATTATTTTATTGTATAATTCACATACAATGGGATTGGTAACAAGTTTTTGCAACATAGAAAAGCCTTTCACTACTCAAAGTAACCCAGAAGCTTGAATAGATACGAACGATAAAATTTCGGAGAAATTTTCAATGCTCAAGAATTCTTCATTTTTTTTAACGAAATATGCAATTTATCGTAAAATCATGTAAATATTAAGGGTCTTACTACACTCCTCCCTAAGAAATGTTTTGACAATGTTATCCTCTCTCCTATTGTCGATTTTAACCAAGTCCCATCCTCGACCGAGTCTGCGGCATGCAGTGCGTGCTTGCTCCCACGAACGCACGCGACTGCTGTAATCAAAGATACGAAATCGACTATCTCCGGTAGTTGTGTCTGAAAGAAAACGGAATAACAGTATAAGATGATTATAACATAGATCTTTTAATGCTTATATGTTATCAATTCATTTTTAATACAATTTTATAATGTAGCCAGTATTTGAAGATGTGTGGGGAAAATTTAAATAATTATGTTAATGGAAAAAGATTTATTTTCTTGGTATGTTTATGGACATAACACTATACTTTGAATTATATGCAGTTTTTTGTACAGTGATATCTTTATAAACTATGGAACAAGGAAAATAATAACCCTGTATGAAAATGAGATTTCACAATGCCTATTTTAATTACCTTCTACACCGTAAGTTTATTTATTCACTTATTTTAGAAAAGCCGTACAGAACATAAGGGTTAAAAAAACTAGCCCTACCTAAGCCAAATTGGGTACAAATATATGAAATGGACACTTTGAAATTGCTTTGGAATCTTTATTCGACCAATATCCAAATAATGCTATTCTGGTTGCAAGACTTTTTTTTTCTTAAATTTAAAGTTATATACCCCTGGTATTTCTTGTATAACCGGTGACATCTACAATTCAAATATAACAAATTAAACTGTTGGGTCTTAAATCTGTTAAATTTATTCTTGTGAGACTTACCGATTACAATCACAGTCAGCAAAACGACCAGAAAAGCTTTCATCTGTCAATTAAAAAAATAATCAAAATTTTGTTTTAAAACAAAACTTAATGTTTTGAAAAGAGATAAAATGAAAAATATAATTATTAGGAAGTGCACTAGCTTTAAATATTTTCATTTTTATCAAGCTTTGTTATTCTTTAAAATTATTCATGATTAAATCGTAATTTATTATTGAAGTGAGAGATGAATACTAACTTAATTTTATTTGTTTGAAATCGTAAACAATTCAAATAAGTTCAATCTAAAACAACAGCACAAGTGCTTGCATTCAGATTTGTTGCCATAAAAAAAAATCAAACATGTTTTATAATCAGAAAAATTTGTATAAATTGATATTTCTAACTTTAAATTGTGTAATCAATACAGCTTTAAAAATAGATTGATTATTTTTCAACGTATCAAATTCAATTATATATTTTTAAAAGATATTTTTATCCTTTTGTAGTTTTAAGGAAACCCATGGATTGAAAGAATAATGCATGTACGAGTACATCTGAGCTCTTATAGTACGATGAATTAATCATTATAAATTAACTGACTGCAATTATTCGTTAATTAAAATAAGTTTGATCATTTAATACAAAATAACACCACCATAATTCCGTTTAGAGCCCTACCAGCACTCGAGGATTGAAATTTTGACCCCCCCCCCCCCCATTCGTTTCCAAAAAGCTTTAAGTACACATGGAAAAAAAATGTCTTTATTATTGAAAAATATGGCGTTTTATACGCGTAAAACATAGTTATAATAGCTCAGATTTTTTTAAAAGACCAAAATATTAATCTGAGGACATTTTTGGCACACAGTATAAAATGTTAAAAATTATTTCCTATTCAAAAGAAACAGTTGAAACAAATGAACATTATTAATTTATTACCCACCTTGTTTATTCCTCTTAAAGGTAAGTATTGCAACACTAGTATCTACCTAGAGTATTTATATATATAGGACCTTTTTGACAAAAAACCATATGCGCACGTGATCAAAATCCCGACAATGACAATGACAAAATTTGCACGTCAAAATACCATAACAAACAAATACAAATATATGTTGACCAGGTATGCAAAATTTGTACTTTTAGTATAATTTACGACGTGAGAATTGAAATTAAAACAAGAAAAATAATTATTGAAAATTCCCAGTTAACCTTCCATAACTTTGATTGATTAATTCTGAGTGTCTTAAATTTTACGCATAATGACGAAATTATGCTGGGTATATTTTAACTTATAAATGATAATGTTAATGCAAAGTTTTAACGCATTCACCAGTTCTTATAAAAAATATATATAATTTACTTCAAGAAACAAAATGATGTATTTATTTTTGAAATTTTATATTTAAAAAGGGTTCAATCTGAACACCCAACAAAGTAGATTAAAAGTACATGTAGCAGACTGGTAAATCTAAATGCTATTTTATTGAAAGTATACATGTATCTTTTAAATGTAATATCAATGAAAATAAAGATCCATTGACACGTAAGAAAGACCTTTTAATTATATTTTACGATTTAGGCCTACGTATTTGTAAACTTGTTTGTTTCAATAGTTTGTTTCACTGACCTATTTTCTAAATTTTCAATGTCAGGATTCAATCATCTAAAAACTGCATATTTAATTATTAATTTAACAGTTTAAGCATACAAAGACTTTTGCAAACAGTGTACATTTCAAAAAGTATTTTTCGATGTACATGTAATGGCATGTTATATTTTTAAAAACAAATAGATTACTTCCATATAAGTTTAATATAAATATTTTCTTAAAATACATGTTTATATATGAACATAGTCCCAAAATAACACATTTAATCATTTATATTCATATATTCACAATATTTACATATAAACGTACGTAAACATGTTATTTAATATCTAGGAAACCCCTAAGTAAATGCCAAACTAAAAAAGTCATTATTTGTTAAAGTACTTAAAGAAAGATTGATCATTTTATATTGTACAGGAATTCCCTACATTAATAAAATATTAACCTCAAATAAATCGTTCATCAATTGAGGATTACCGAAAAACATTTTTTTAAATGTGTCCAAAATACAAAATTCTGCCTTTTTGAAGGGATTGATAAAAAGTATTAGATAAAGAATATTCGGTATTTTCATATATAAACTTATTTTCTTACCTAAGAGCCGAGAATAATTCAATATAGAAGGTTTGTAAAGAAACAGGGTGTTACTTCAATTAATAAAAAAAAGACTTTCAAGATTGTGAATAAGTGAAGAAAATATCAAATGGAATTAGAATAGATCTAAAAAAAAAAAAGCGTTAAAAGCCTATTTCTATACGTTAATACAAAGGTAACGATACAAAGTTAGCTAAGTATAAACATGAAGATTTATTTTCGCCCCATTCATTATATTAGAAACAGATTGGCGAATTTAACACGAGGTAAATAAAAGAAAATAGTTAAATTTTCCCAACAGATTGGGCGAGTTAAAGAGGGAACGAAAATTATTGGCAGTGCAACGTAATATTAATTTTGTAGGTACATGTATCTTATTGATAAAAAAGTGACTTTCTCAAATTATCGATGATGTTCGCACGTTTGTTGCGAATTAGAGAGTTCGTTGCCAAATGAAATTGGCATAAATTTATTAATTTAATGCATCTGACGCATTGCCATCAAATGATTTAATTGTGTGAAATTGTTTTGATGAGGTTCCCTTTCTTTGCTAACATCAATTGCCTGCCTGTTGATATTTGTCATTTTGACTATTTATACCACCGTGGTGTTAATAATCATCATGTTGGCATACAATAAAACTATTGAAAAAATAGAATTTGCACATACGCTGATGAATGCATATTGTAAGCGAACTATTTTCAATAGCGCTGGTTTTTCGAAATGTTGAAATTGTTGAAGACTTTCATGTTTCATATCGTTTTCGTCGATGTTATGATAGGGATTATATTCTGTTTTGATTTTTAGCAAATTAATAGTGTAGTGAATTGGAATATTAAGAATTAACATGCGTGAAGTCGCTAGCAATGTACATGTACATGTATGTGTTTCTACATGTTGGCGGTTAACGTACTGTTTGTTTGAAACTAACAGAATGTCCATAAAATACACATGTGCGTTATTCTAACTATTCCAAGACTGAATTTTTTGAAATTATGAGAAAAGGTGCGCATTGAATAGAAAATATGCGAGAATTTCTTGGAAATATTATTTTTTAAAATTTAAAAATCATAACATATCTTGTCAATTTTAATATTACTGGTATATGGGATATTGTTTCGAATCATAAGCATGCATTTCTATTTGTTAAAAATCAAGGGCCAAAAGGAAAAAAAAATACTAATTTCGGATCAGACAACATACTCGGGCAATGAGAGAGCCCGGCTTTCAGTTCTTTCAATACTTCGATTTTTTGTATAGGCGTTTAATGCTGTTTTATCTTTTAAACTCAATGGCCCTTCTTTGATATATATTGATTATGTGTTGACTCTTCATGACCTCACTACGGAATTCCGTCGAATAAATCAAGATTCTTTTTTAAAAAAAAATGAAGATCTTTCAATTATTGAAAGTTTTTTATTTTCATGCTTACAAGTAATCAATGGAGGATTACTTTAAAATAGAGTAGGCAATCTATTACGAGAAGTTGAACTACGAGCGAATCCTCTAGGATCGGGAACAAAGGAAGTAAAGATACTTCCTTGTAACGGAGTTTGTTGAAGACGATTTGATCCTCTAGACTCGGTAAAATCAGGAAATTGAAGACCTGATAATTCTTGGGTTTGATCAAATCCTCCAAAAGGAGGGATTTGAGGTCTTGGGAAGGTCGAACTCTTTGGAAAGGTGTAAGTCCAAATCTTCCGGAAGTGGAAGGACCAAACTCTTCGGTGCCAGCAACAGATCCTCCGTCAGTCCTAGGCCAGTCCAAACCACATTGCTTTTCACAGATGTAGCCTAATCTCGAGCTCCGTGCTGAACGGAAAGCCACAGATCTCGACTGGAAATCATTTTTGTAAATAGCGAAGTTATTCCGGCCGTCCCCATTACTTTCTCCAGGAAAGTTTGAATATGTCCCACGAAGCCACCAACCATCCGTGCCATCGCCTTTTAAAACAAATATGATACGTTTTAGTGGAATGAATCTTTTTTTTAAATAACGAAATTGTCACACAACACCGGTACAGATTTCTGATCACAAGTGTGTAGACCTTGCAATTTGGTCTTGCAAGGACAGGTGTGTGCACTGTTTGCTAGTGATGCAAGACTGTTGACACTATTTGGTACGGACATGAAGAATTTTACAACAGTTACATGTACAAGTGAAGTTTTTTCCCTTAGAAATCAGTATCTTCGCTAGTCAAGTGTTGCAATCTCCTCCACATTTTTGGGGAGAAATGGAACAGATTGTTAACCCTTGGCTAGTAGAAATGAGATCAGCTGCGCACAGTGAAAATTCAGGTAAATCAAAAGTCAAATATCTTGGATACTGAGTAACCCATATCTTTTCTTGTGATACTCTCACAGGACAAAACATTTTTTTTTCAAGATAACACAGGTTAATAAAAACAGTTATGAATTTTTTTCCTTTAAAATTTTTAGAAGTAAGGAAAAACCGTAAACTTTGTTTGCCGTGGGAAGTGGGATGGGTTAGCCCGAGCTAAAGTCTCTTGCTAGAAGAGGAAATATTATTTATATTTTTTCAAATTCAACGAGTTATTCCATACCAAAATCTTACTCCCCAGAATAAAATGGTCATCTTTCTTTAAGACACAGCACACAGGAAATTAAGAAATGAAAAAATAAAGATTTCTTGGATTTTTTTTCATGAAATATGCAATTCTTTGTAAAATTATGCAAATATTTAAGTTTCTTACTACATTCCCTCCTTAGAAGACTGGTGATAAGTTCATTCTCAAAATCGTTAATTTGCAAAAGGTCCCAGCCTTGACCGAACTCGAGATTTCTGCATGCTTCACGTGCCTGCTCCCATGTCTGCACACTACTTCTATAATCAAAGATGCGAATAGTATCGCCGGTGGTTGTGTCTACAAGGAAGAAAAATTACAATATTATAAAACCTGTAAATAATAGCATAAGTTTTAAATGATCCAAATGGTAGCAATTTTGTTCATTTTCAAATGCCAGCGATATACAAAGATGCTTATAAAAAATTTAAGATATTACTATAAGACCACTTACAGTTCTGGACACGCAGCCACCATCGTTACTTAACAACATGTATAAACTTAGGCTCATAACTGAGGACTTACATCAATTTTATTCCTTGATTCTCAATGCACATCACATTTATTTCAAGTATTTGAGATCAATATTGATTCGTGTATATTTTTACAAATTGGAGACAGTAGTGTTTGAGATCATTGTTATAAAAAAAGATTCACAGATATTTAATTTTGTGGTTTGTACATGAGCATAATACAATGTACCATGTTTTGAATTATAAGCAAAGTGTGTAGATGACATAGATTTATAGTACCTTCGAAGGTAGGAACACGAACAACTATCTTTCTTAAAATTAATTATTTCACAGTATTTGATATTAATGTGAACATATTTACTATGTTATAAATACATAAATGCATGCAACGCATGCCATTATAAGGTTAAATGATTATTATTTTGATACTGAAAGTTCAAGGCTAACTTCAGAAAATTTCCTTCTCCAAAACATGTTCAATAGAATTTGAGTAGGCAAAGAAAACGTTAGGTTTTAATTTATTAACTTTATTTAAAGCTTTATCTTAATAAAACCTAAAAAAATATTTGAGACGAACTCTCTTAAAATAGAGTTTGTTTCTTAATCCAACCTGCAATTTTTATTTCCCTAAATAATAAGATTCTGGTTGTGACTCTTTGTTTTTATTTGGATGAAAAAATATATATATTGTATAACTATTGTTAAGAAACTCCGGCCCTCAGCCAGGAAGGACAACTCTTTAATTTATACTTTAATTCAAGAAGTCTTTAAATGAAGCTTAAAATTTAATATTTTCATGCAACAATTTTTATTATATGTCTCTCAATGTGCTTCAAGGTTCTTTGCAAAGCTCCATAAATCACTTCTAATTTCATATCATATTAATAAACACTGGTATCTAAAATTACTTTTTTGGGATAAACATTTCTACTTTTAATTAGACCTTTCTGAGAAGTTCAAAGAACACATTGAGAAGCATATTATGAAAATTGTTGCATAAAAAGATTTAATTTTCAAGCTTCATTTAAAGACTTTTTGAATTAAATTATAAATTAAAGAGTTGTCCTTCCTGGCTGAGGGTTTGAGTCCCTTAAGTTTTTAAAAAATTACAACTTGCGTAAAACTCTGTATTTCTTTGTGAGACTTACCGATTATAAACACAACCAACAAAGCGGCAAGAAAAGCTCTCATCTGTCAATTAAAAAAAATCAAATTTAGTCTGAAACAAAATTATATGCAAAAAATTTATGGGTGATATCACAGGGGCCGGTAGGGAAATAACGTCAGCCCGAATTTACACAGGGTCGATCTCAGAAATATTTCGTATTTCACATAAAAATGCCATGCCACCTATAAAGAATAACTAGAATCATACTACAATTAATATTTTTTAATAAGACAGAAAGCTCATTCATTCATTCAATCGATATCCAGTTGTGCGAGTCGATGTACTTGAAGTCGTCCACAAAAGCAAGGTAAAATTTGCACTTTTTCTCCAGTTTCGAAGTCTTTTGGCTTTTTTTGTTCATTACAAGGCCCAAACCGAGAACAGACGACATTTTGAAAAAAACCATGTAAGGTAAAAGGCGGAGCGTGATTGGTCAGATCTGTTCTAGAAAAGTACTGTTGACCAATCACATCGACATCTCGCGTTAAATCTTGGATGCGATGTTTAGCGAATTTAATGGACGAATTAAACTACATCACTAGCATGACAGGATATCGGATTTGCAAAACACGACATACACGATTCTTAAATGACCGTGATGATATTTTTTATTAAAGAGTTATTATTGCTGAATCATTCCAGCCGTTATTCCACCAACTTCACAGTATTTTATTGAAAACACGAAATATTTCCGAGATCGACCCTGTGTAAATTCAGGCTGACGTTGTTTCCCTTTCTCTTTTTGTATACATATACATCGAGAGTCACCTGTAGGTGATTAAGTAAAACCAAATACAGTATGTTACTGGCCCCTGTTTGGGATATAATGTAGAAAATAAGTACGCTGAAGTGAATCTAGCTTTAAACAGTAAATTTATAATTTCTCTTTGTCTCTAGTTGCAATTTTTTTGAAAAGAGATAAACAAATTTATTATAACATGTGTACTTTTATAAAAAAAAAAAAGTTATTCATTCTAAAGAGTTAAAAGTTCAATTGGAAAAAATCTTATTATCAGAAAAAAAGGTCGAATAAAATCATTTCTTTTTCATCAGTAATAAAATTTCTCAAGCTTTATGATGTGTATTTGAATTTCACCATATAAAAATCATTTTTATTCTTTAAAGAAGTTTTTCTTTTATTTCGGTTACTGCAATGGTGAAAGTATCCATTATAATCTTATTGAATAAACACAATTATATAGATTTAAAGAAAAATACATATTTAACAAAATATCGAATATATTTAATCTACCATTGTAAAGAATACCGATAACACTGTCTTGAAGAACATTGCTAGCACTATCGCATTGACATTTTATATCCCAAATCGTTACCAAAAACAACATACACAGGAATAAATCCTTTGTTATTGAAAGTATTGGTATCATGAATAAAACATAGCTAAAATAACTTTAGGAAATACTTAGATATGGACATGAGAGATTTCAGAGTTTTTTTTCCCTTCTGTGGCCCCCGCCCCCAGCCACCGGAGCAAATGCCCACGAACCCGGTCTGTAAGGCTTTTTCAAGAATTCTGGATCCGCCATTGACTTGTACCCGACAGTTGAAGCAATTTTAGATGATTTTCAATTCACCAAAATAGTAAAAATTAAAGTAAAAGAAAAGCTAAATTCTTACCTTGTTTACTCCTTCGGAGTTGTAGACAATAATTGCAGTATCTATCTAGCGTTTATATAGGCCTATATGTCGGAAAACCAAACTCCCACGTGATCAAAAATCCCGACAAAGGCAAATTTGCATGACAAAGTGCACAAAAAATAAAAATTTTGTTGATCAGATGTATCCCATTTTTTACCCAGTTTAACCAACTTTAAAGTAGAATATTCATTGAAATTCACCGAATATTCTTCTTTAATAATTTTCATTTTTTCCCCTTCATTTTTCCATTCATTCATTTTCATTTCTTTTTTCATTTATTCCTACCTCTAGTTTTGAATTTTTTTTTTCTTTGTATTGTTTTAACAAATTTTTAAGCAAAGTAACTGATCGTTATATCAAAATTTCATCTTTTGATTTAATACATATTGGAATAAATATGCTGGATACATTTATATTAACAAAAACAAATTGATTATGCAAAATCAAAAGATTTACTAGTTTTAATAAGAAAAAACACACATTTATATACATATTTCTTTTTTAACTTTTATGGAGAGAGTTCAAGCTCTGAAGTATTTATTACTCAAGATAGTAGATTAAACGGCCTTGTGAGCTTCATGTCATTTTAATGAAAGTATATCCTTGTAAAATGATGAAGAAGATTTTCTTTTGGAAACACTGATACCCCCATATAGCAGCTTTAAGTGAGAGCTGAAATTTTTTAAATGAAGTCAAACCTCCAGGTCAAAGGATCAATATGTTTTTTTTCCAAAGATAGCACTGCTGCTCGATGAAAATACATGTACACATGTACCTGTAAAATCCAAAGCACTATCTATTGATAAGCCATTGTCAAAGTAAAGTAAAAGCTTTTTAAATTTGGATGAAACACAAAGGTCAAAGGATCAAATTAAAATTCCTTAAAGGAAGGCATTGTCGTAAGAAATTTTAAGGCCTAGCTACAACTGTTTATAAGCTATAGCCAAATTGAACGTTTGTCAGTAGTAAATCACGCTCCAGCGCCAAAAGGTCAAATCGTTGGTAACCAAGGGAAGGCCTTTTAACATGGGATACAATTGTGAAATATGAAAGCCCTAGTACTAACTGTTCAAAAGTTATGTCAAAGGTCATTGTTTCTTTAAAAGTAGGTCAAGACCAAATGGTGACAAATAATATCCGTGGAAAGGACGTTGATTGAATTCTAGCAAAATTGAGTCAAACCCCAAGGTCAAGAAGTCTTTTCTGGGTATATGTTGGTATCCAAAACAAAGGCATTGGTTCAATGTATATACATGGATGTGAAATACCGTATGAAAGCCATAGCTCAAGCCAATAAAGAATTATGGGCAATGATAAAGTTTAGATGCGAGGTCATAAAGTTATAAATGACAATGCATTTCACTACTTTCATCGTATTGATTAATTTGTTTTAATTTGTTTTGATTTTTTTTTCTAATTTGTCATTGCAGGATTCAATGGTCACTAAACTGCATTTTTTTTTCATAGAGATACGTTGTAAAACAGAGTGAATATTTCAAAACGTTTTCCGGGTATAATTGCATATTATATTTTATATTTAAGCATTTCTTCAACGTGAAGTTGCATAAAAATAATTTTTATTACTTAGAATATGATTATAAATTGATTTCACAATATCTTGAAATACACGTAAAAATTGTATTTAATTTTGGAAACTGAAATAAATTGTAGTAAATCACGAATAAAATATCAAAAGTGGGAAATCTTAGAAAACATTGCTTTTTTCATGTTAGATAGGAATTTCCTGCATAATTAGATTATTCATTAGCCAGATAAAAGAAACTGTGCACGAAAAAATTGTACATCTGATTGAGAATGACAAATATATCTTAATGGTTTCTAAATAATCAGATTTTAATTACATTAATCCTTCAACCAATCGTTACACTTAAACATTTAAAATTTTATTTAATGAAATAAACATCATGCACTAGCTGTTACATGAACTAGAATACTGTGCATGTGGAATCCAAGTTTCTGTATAGACTGATTAAATAAGGATATAAATTTTCATATGAAATAAAATTTGAATTTCAATGCCCAATTTTGCAAGCAAAAAAATAAATAAATATTAAATAGCGAAATTAAAAAGTAAAAAGGTAAATAATTAAATAAAAAACGAAATTATAAAATAAAAAACGAAATTATTTAATAAAAACGAAATTATTAAATAAAAAACAAATTATTAATAAAAAAGTTCGCAAGAACTTCCTAACTTTTTTTGGTACATAGTTATAACCCAAAATAATTCCCCCTAAAATTAGGGTTTTACGATTCTTTTGAGTTTCAGAATATAAGAACTAAGCTTTATGATAGACGTGATGACTTTGATGTTTAATAAACAACTTCCTTTGCAGCTAGAAGATCAGCAGTTTTGTTTAAAGTCCTCATTTTGTTAATCCTAAAGTCGATAGAATGACCTTGTCAGCAAATATTATTTTCCAAAAAGTCTTTCATACTGAATGCTAGGCCATCATTTACACACTAAATTTATTACTCCAAAAATGAAAATTATAGCCTGTGGACACTTAATGTTTTATCATTTTTTTTTATTTTAACCCCCCCCCCCCCACAATTGTTTATATGTCGGAACAACATCAGGTCTATAGAATTACTAAGTGATGCTTTATAACATGTGAGCTTTATGTTCAGGCCCTTCCTGTGCACATTTATATATTTCGTTATTTTAGTTTCAGATTTTTCTTAATCTCGTTTTTAGTTGATATTTTCTTTTTTTTTTTATTTAGTAGTTTCGTTTTTATAAATAATTTCGTCTTTAATTGTATTGAATTTCTATATTTTCGTCTTTTATTCTGTACTCAATTATTTTTTTATTTTTGGTTTGCGCTATTGGGCTTTGTAGACTTTCTCAAATCCTCGATTATTTTATTTTTGTATTACAGCGTACATTACACATTGGTACGAATGATTAACAACATTTTTATGTATACTCAATGGACGTGCTGAGGAAGACATATTACATCTAGATTGAAAAGTAGCTTTGGGCAGGTTTGATTGTCCTCGATTTATGTTAGTTTAAATACATAATGGAAAATTTAACTGGAAATAGAATTTAATGATATGACGTTTTTACAAGATTTTCGGGGGAGAGCTCGTATTGAAAATTACTGAATGTATAGAAAACCATTTCTCGAAATAAAGATTAATAAAATTTCGTACTCTCTATTCAATATCTATAAATTTTATCTTCTAGATATTTGTATACACATATACTTCTATGAAAAGTAATTAGATTAAGGAAGGTCATACTTTTACAGATCCGGTTTTAATTTTACACACCAATATGAAATTCTGGATTATCATTTGTCTATTAAAATAAAATATTTTTGGATGACTGAAAACA